GATGCCCAGAAATGTAAACATATCAATAGCTTTCTTATAGAAAAATKGATATTTCACATTTGCTGTAATCTTTGATGTATTTAGTGTTGAAAACGTAAACTTTTTTTAACATAAACATGCTCCTACCACGTGTAAACATCTTTTGATGTTGAACTCCAGTTTCAATGGGCCTATTGAAAACKTATAACAAATTTCATAAGAGCTGTAACCTAAGTTTTCAAATTTATTATTAATGAAAATTATATGTTGTACCAACTGTTAATGTTATTAAAAATCACACCAACCAACCAATTCAAAAGTTGATGTTCATAGTGTACAAAAGGCCTTCGCAATACTTGATTACTCATGCTCTATATCACCTGGCCCATGGAAACTCATATTGTACGATATGTTGCAACCTTTAAGGTTGGAAAATCAACTGTGATCGAAGGTGTTCAAGAAGTGGTAGAGGCACTATGTGAAATTAAAGAAAATTATATTAAATTTCCATCTAAAGAAGATGAAGTTCTAAAGGCACGCAAGACTTTTGAATGACTACCAGATCTACCTAATGTTGTATTCATGGCACGCACATTAGAATTAAAAAAAAACCGATGAAAGTGGACCACATTACTTTAGCCGATATCAACAATATGATGTCGTGGTCCAAGCAGTAGCAAATGGAGAGAAAAGATTCCTTGACATTTAAGCAGGATACCCGGGAAGTATGCACGAATAAAAAATAGTACTATTTTTCAAATAATATATACCAACCGTRAGATTCTACAAGTCCCTACCGTTAGAGTTCAAAACAGAGAAGTAAAGCCTTTTCTTTTAGGAGACAGTGCATATCCTATTTGGACTTCACTGCTAAAGCCTTACCCCAAAAATACCACTGATCCAAAGGAAATCAACTTAGGAACTTTCACGTGCCCAAGTATCAGTAGAGTATGCTTTTGATATGTTGAAAGAACACTGGAGAATTCTCCAAAAACGGCTCAGCTACAGTAAAATGTCTTTCACAACAAAATTTATTGTTGCATGCTGCGTGCTACATAATATTTGCATTGATTCTGATAATATGTGACGAAGACGACGCAACTCGAAGGGAAAATGATGCAGTTCAAAACTACGACGACAATGGGGAAGATTTTAATCTTAATTTAAAACACTAGAAGTATAAAATTATCTGTGAACAGACACAAATAATTGTATGAACACGATATATTGTTAAGTTCGTGAAAGAAATAAAGGYAACCCTTTGAATATCAATGCAATCATAATTATTAGAAACAAAAAAAAGTTTTCCAATATATGACAAGAAAATACCAAGATAAATTCACAGCAAAAATTCAAGGTTATTTATCTGATTTGCTTTGCATGATTTGCATGAAATTATTCATAAACTGGTTCATCATTTCTGGTTGCTGAGTCTGTTTTTTTCCATTGATTCAAGGATATTGCTCAATCTGTCTCCTTGTTTTTCCAWATATTCCATTTGCTTATAAAATCATTTTCATCATCCAGTTTCATTGCTCGACGTTTATTACAGTTCTTGCGATCATGGCGATTTCTCTTTCTTGTTGCACTCTTAGGGAAGTTGAATATGTTATCATCCTCTGTGAGGTCTAGTTGCTCTTCAGCTGAACTATTTGGGTTTACGGCATTTTTTACCGGTTTCTTTCCCTTTGAAGCAGTACTAGCGTGAGGTTTGGTGCTGTTAGGTTCTTCGGCATCTGGAGATGAAGTAGTACTAGCTTGAGTAGTTTTGCTGCTATTAGGTTCTCCAACATCAGGAGATGGACATGTTGACTTCTTTTCATTTAAAGTAGTACTAGCTTGAGGAGGTTTATTGCTATTTGGTTCTTCGGACTCCACCACGTGCTGTAGTGCGACCATGTCACGACAGCACAGTACAGCATCGATCTCCTTGTAACTCGGCCACTGCAAGACTGATAGCTGTTGTGATGTTTCGCCTCTTTATATTTATCTTTAGATACTCCAATTTTCGTTTGCACTGCTGTATAGACTTGCCAACCCCTTTAGCGATTTCTTCCCAAACTACCCTCGAATGCCTTGACTCGAGTCTAGTGAAATTGTCACTCCAAAGCTGGACAAGTGATCTTTCCTCCTTTTCCGTCCATCTAGATGATGACTTTCCTTGGTTGCCGGACTAGGAAGAAGAGCCAGATGCCGTACTGGACGTTTAATCTAGTGATGGGTCGTCCAAGGGTGATGGAATAGTTGTGTTGATCAAATAACCCATGTGCGGGTTAAAAGCCACGTATTGTTGCTTGACTTGCTGGTTGTGTTCGAAACGACGCCTGAAAAGTGTACCAGGCTGGTATTGAAGATATCGAGGGCCTAAGTACCGAGGCAGAACACACTGAGACCAATGCTATGCTGCTTGGATCATATGTCCAGCAACTTAAGTCCAAACAGACAACCTTTATAGTTATCGATGATATCGAGGGTCCAAACTCATTAGAAACAGAAATAACGGACTCTGAAGACCTCTCGAGTGGAATCATTGAAAAACTTTGCTTAACCAAACAATTATTTGCTAACATCAAAAGGAAGCTTGACACTGCAGGAATGCCATCACAAGTAACACCTGAAACGCCAGAAAGCCAAGCATCTGCAGCGTCTACATCATCAGATCAAGCATCTACATCGTCAAGTCAAGAATCAAGCCAAATAGGAAACCAACTCAACAATTAAGCCGTTTATAATCCACCAAACCTAGGTAACATCCATAATAATTTACAAGCGCCACAACAGGACAATGTTTCACCCGAACTGGTAACCACATCACTGTCATGGCTGGTCATATTGTAGAAGCACAATTGACATACCTCGCCTGTAATGTTTTTTTATTTGGTTGAATTTGTACACCTAGTAGAAGATGCCTGCAAATGTAAAGTAATCTTCTGCATAAAGAAAACTTTGCTATGTATTTTGCAATTGTCAATAACATTGTATTAAGTAGTGTCAAACACGACTATTTAAAACATTCATAAAAAATACGAGGCTGTATTGGATCAGGGAACACAAATCTTATCGTGTATTGTCGGGTACTGGGTATGTATTGTCGCTTATTGTATGATGCTTAGGTAACCAATCAAATCGAGCACACTAACATTACTTTGTGTATAATGATAACGACAATTGGATTAGTCAATATCCTTTTAGTGGATTTTAAAAAAGCGTTCAGCAAACGAAGTTGCCGGGTTTTGATTTCACTTAGGACAGTTTAGTGGAACTTTGAAACTCCGCAAATAGAAATTTGCAGTGTTTTGACTGGCAAAAAAAGCCATACTAAAAATAAAACAAGAAAACCCAAAAAAACGGAAATCGCGCTAATTTTAAACGAAATTCAAGATACGTTTTAATTGGCCAAGCCTTACAGATTTGCTAATCATTGCGTCCTCCTTGACAGATAAATGTCATGATGTTTATTCAATCGGCTTTATTTGTAGAACGGACAATGCTAAAACTTTCTTGAAATATAGAAATATAGATCTTGAAAGATAAATCTTACTCGTCTCTCACTTGGCAACATAGGCTCACCATGCTTATTCTCAAAAAGTAGCGATATACCCTCAACTACACTCTTGTCCTCTCAGCTCTCTCAACGTTATTTCAATTAATTATCAGTTCATCATAAAAATATACTTGCTAATAGTCTGTAAGTAAGGGAAGCTGTGAGCTTGTAATGTGAACCGAAAAGTTGTCATTCGTAACTACCAGCAAACATAGCTTTGTAACGTTCTTTCGAGTTTCGTATCTTCGACTTTTACAATTACGAAATACCTAATACCCCGAGGCGTTCAGCACCTAAACCAATTCTGCAGATGCCACAGAATCTCGAGAGATCCTGGGAAAAGGACCTTAAATGGGAGTTGATTAAATCATAACAGACATTCAAAATCACACTCAAGATTTTTCTTTACGGAATCCTTTCTCCTCTCTTTAGGCGAATTATTGTCTGGTCAATTAGACACCGAATTGATTTGCACTGTGGTGTGGTATGTACTGGATCAGATAAGGTCTTTTTGATTATCCCTTTCAGTCTCGTGATTAATTGCTCATTACCACTCTTAAAGTAAAACTGAATAACTCGATCTGGGAGGCCAGTGTTGACGAGTAAATCCATTCGCCAAGTCATGTCCGAGGCCGAGTTAAGTCTGAGTCAGAGTCAAATCTGAGTCAAATCTGAGTCAGGTACTACTGGTCAGYGGAATGTATCATTCCTCGTGGTCTGTTCAACATGGCCGAAGGTGAGTAACAATGCGCCATGTTTTATGCATGTATTATATCCTTTCCCATCGCCCTTTGTACTTAGCATAACAAAGAATATGTAAGGCAGCGTACTATTCCAAGGTCACTGCACTTTACTGAGGTCGTATTCGATTGATTTCTAATCTTTTTTTCGTAGACAATGTGATTGAAATAGAAGATGAGGTAAGGGTTTGCTTTTAAAATAATAAGCTTTCATATTCATTTATTTTAGTGTTAAGACGTTCGACACGCGATTCTTTCGATTAACTTTTATAGAGTTTCGAATTTTACTGCTGTAAACGTTGAGCTTATAAGCAGAAATCGTGGCTCCTTGTAATCCTTGAAAAATGCCCCGGAATGGAAAACACATGAAAGGCATTTAAGCTGCTAAAAAAACGCTAAAACGACTGGAATACTCCTTGAAATGATGCCAATGTGCATAATGTTATTTCTGACTTTCCCATCTCAAACATTAACCAGTTTGCTTCAAAAGTGCTGTGATTAGCATGAAGCATGAACCCTGAGTGGAAAACACTGTATTTCTGTAAAAAAAAATTGTAATACAAAAGTGTTCAATTGAATTTAAAGCTTTTACCTAGCGCTATTTTGTGATTTAGTTATAACTAATTGTATTGCTCTGATACATACACTGGAGGTGATCTACAGCCCCAAGTCTAAACCGCCCCCTAGGATTGAAAGGTGGGCATTACGTCTACAGCCCTACCTTTACAATTGTGCATATGCCTGGGAAAACAAATCCGGCTGATGTCTTATCGAGACTCCCTCTAACGGGTCAACCCTTCAGGGAGCGCAGCATTGCGGAGGAATACATCAACTATGTGACAGCGAACGTGGTGCCAAAAGCGTTAACACTGGCCCGGATCATTGATGCAACGTCTGCAGATCCAGTTTTGTCACAAGTGAAACAGTGTTTAAGCACAGGGGTTTGGCCTGGTACCCCGGAACTGTTACCGTACAAACGGCTCAAAGATGAACTGTGTGTTAGTACTGGTGTGGTGTTGCGAGGGTCAAGGATTGTTGTACCGGTTACCTTGCAGCATGAGACACTTTGTGTTGCGCATGAAGGTATTGTGCGCACCAAACAGATGATTCGTGAGAAGGTTTGGTGGCCAGGAATTCTGCAGCACGTGGAAACAATGATCAAAGCGTGTATACTGTGTCAGGCTGCTACACATACAAAGTCAGCGGTAGAGCAACTGAGACCCACTACTATGCCTGCGCAACCATGGCAGGAAGTTCACATAGACCTGTGTGGGCCATTTCCCACAGGTGAAACCCTGCTTGTGTGCAAAGACGCGTGCACTAGATGGCCGGAGGTGGTCATCTTGAAATCCACGACTTCTGCCGCTATCATCGGACATCTTCGCAAAATATYTGCATCTTATGGATTACCTGACAAGGTGATTACCGACAATGGATCGAACCTAGTTTCTCAGGAGTTTGAGGACTTCTTGACGACTCATGGTGTACAACACCGCAAGGTAACACCCTACTGGCCTCAAGCGAATGCGGAAGTGGAAAGGTTCAATCGTACCATTGGAAAAGCAATTCGTGCTCTACATGCGGAGGGGAAGAACTGGCGGAATGAAATTTTTACCTTCCTCTTAAATTATCGTTCGACTCAACATTCATCGACAGGAGTGTCACCAGCGCTATTGCACCTGGGAAGGGAAATCCGCACAAAAGTCCCACAAGTCGGAATGCAGTGTTTTTTTAAACGCATTAAAAACCGCACAAGAGAGATATCAACAGATGAAACAGCGGATGAAGGTGTACGCAGATAAAAAGCGCAATGCTGTTGTTTCCGACATTCAAGTGGGGGATGTAGTGCTAGTACGTCAAGCAAAGGATAATAAGTTGGCAACTTGCTATGGTACCAAGACATATACAGTCACTGAAAGAAAGGGTCCAAGTGTTGTTTTGCAACACGGCCG